GTTATTTAAATTGCCACTTCATTTTCCTGTCTGGTAGCCTAATCTACATGCCTCTGGCGACAGAGGCATGTAGTCTAGATGTACCCTTAGATATCACGTAATAGAATAGTCAAATACATCAAATACTATTGGTTACTCGAGTATTCTATAGTCCTTGAGGGACAGGGCCAGCAGCTAGTGAAATCCAGCCCCATTCCTGAGAATCCCTCTGCCATCCCATGCTCCTGGCTCTGTCTCTGAAACAGGCAGCAGTATGGGGCGCCAGGAAGACCACAAGAGGAGACAATTTAAAAACCAGCTCCCTACACAGACCATCTGCCTGCTACCCTGTGCTGCTGTCTCTCAAAAAATGAGGAGTAATGTTAGTTCCAACCAAGGGGTTTGATTTGAACGAATGCGGCTCAGAGCGCACTTTAACTTTCAAAACAGTTGGGTTCCAAAACAGCGCGCGGCCGACATTATGCTAATGAAGCGCGGGCTATTTAAATCCTGGCTTCATTTACTATTTTGAATGCCTACATTTGCATCCCTAGTTTGAACTAGAGTGCAAGTGTAGGAGGGGGGGGGGGGGTATAAGCAGATGGAAATAAGAGGGCTTCCATAGAGCTGGAAGGTATTTAGTGGGAGATATTTGCTTCCCCTGAAATGTAAATATAAACCACAGCTAATCCTGGATTATATGAATTGATGCACCATTGGATTGGTCTGCTATATGAAGTCCTATGTTCCTTGGTTAAATAAAAAACGTACTAGTAGCTTGTTGTGACCGACCAATTTCTGTAACAGAGCATGCAGTGTTCACGGCGAGCCTCCAGGGACTGTAAACACATTCAGTGACAACTTTACCTAACTTCTATACCAAAGTATTGCTAGGCATATATGAATTGATGCACCATTGGATTGGTCTGCTATATGAAGTCCTATGTTCCTTGGTTAAATAAAAAACGTACTAGTAGCTTGTTGTGACCGACCAATTTCTGTAACAGAGCATGCAGTGTTCACGGCGAGCCTCCAGGGACTGTAAACACATTCAGTGACAACTTTACCTAACTTCTATACCAAAGTATTGCTAGGCAAATAGTAACAGCAGGAAACATAACAAACATTACTTGAAAGGGTTTAAATCAGCAGGA